TGTGCATTCAATATCGGACTAATCAATTTTGAGATGAAGACATTAGTGAAAGAGGCACAAGAGGCGAAAGACAATTCTTCAGCGTGTTGGGTAATTGTTGGTAATCTTGTGTATATTCATTATCTTCATATTGGATTGATTAGTGGCGCTTCGCCCGTGATTTTTTTATTACAATTAGAGGTGCTCCAACCGTGATTTTTTTCACGTTAAAATCGTTTGTGTCAATTTATTAATTGTGAGACAACAATTTAAATCACTTTGTACGTGCTAGATGGTTTAGATTGTTAGTTTTGTTTGTTTGGAAATTGTTGCAATTCAATTTATTTCGAATCACGAATCACTTAGATTTTTCAATTGGCATCAGAGCGGCTCACTTGTTCTTGTTTTTATAAAAACTATAAGAGTGTGGTTTTGTGAGATTTGTGTTAATGGATTTGATTCGCATAGGTAACTCGACCCATAGACCTCCTTTACTTAATGGAACAAGCTATTCATATTGAGGAGAATATGAATTCAAAAAATTAGCCCCACATGCAAACTCAACTGGCCTGGAAGCTAATTGACAAAAGCTAGAGTAGAATGCCATAAAAGTATTATCTCCATCTTCACTGGATTCGACTTTATTAGGTTGTTGCTCTAACTCGTTTTTATCATCCCAAGTCACTGTGTAGACTTCCGGTTCTTCTTAGAAGGACACTTGAGAGCAATATGCCCAAACCCTTAGCATTCATAGCGCTTGACTCTCTGTTCTCTCATAGTCTTCTTTTCAGTTTTTGGAGCAACTTTAGGTTTATCATTACTCTTATCTTTAGAACTAATGTACTTGAAATTAGGCTTCTTTTTCTTTAATTTTTTTTTAATTATAAAAGTGAACAAAAAGGACAGTGATAGGCTTTTAAAACCACACATACTACCTAATTCTTCAAAACATGATCGCTGTCTTTGGAGGTAAAAAGTCGTTAGGTTTTTTGTATAGGTGTCTCATCAGCTGTATTCTCACGTCTCTTGATGTTCCATCAGCCAATGATGATAAGTTTGCTACTCCCGTGAAACTTTTTACCAAAAAGATTGTCTTCCAAAGTCGGGCACATATTAAGGGGGAGTCTTTGAGGGCCGGTCATTCTGATGCAGGTGAAGACCAGTTGGAAGAGAAAGCCGAGCTTGATATTGCAGCCACCGATGAGGATAAGCAGGTTGTCCGCCCTCGGTATATTCGTGACCAGCTATTTCAATTTGAGTAGACCTTAACCCAGCGCCTTGATCGACTTGATGCTCATTTCAATGCCTTTGATGGACGCCTTGGACGTATTGAGCGTACGGTGGACTAGTCATCTCTACAGCTTGCTCAGATTCTTTCTCTCCTCCAAATGTAGTAGTCTCCACCTCCTCCACCATACTAATGACTAGTTGTTTCTTTTTCTCTCTACATGGACATGTTTTTGATGTTTTTTTTTTTATCTTGGGCATTTTTTTTTTTTAATCTTTGGCCTATTTTCTTTTGGTTCGACTGTTCTTTTGGAGATTTTTTTTTTTTCTTTTCTTTTTTTTGGCCTTGTTTTATGTTGGGTTGTTTATATTGGGATGCTTATTGGACCATTGGCCTTAACTGCTTTGTCTCTTCTGGTCAAAAAGGGGGCAGTGGTATTTATGATGTTTATGTATTGTTTTTGGATTATTTGGATTATGCTAGCTACTTCTGTTTTCTAGTTTCTTTGTGTGATCTTTACAATCCTTGCAAGTGGCTCGTTTCACACAGTGTTTAGAGTGGTTAGGGATTTGTGTCTAGTGCGTGTGTTTGCTAGGAATTAATGTTAGAAGTGTTTTGTCCAGGATTGGCAAAGGGGGAGATTGTTAGGTCCCTTTGGGCTGTCAATTCCGCAAACAAACACATTTGTAATGTAATTTAGTTCCAAGAAAAATGATGTTAGCTCGAGCGCACAATTGGTTGCCCGAGCGAAGATATGTATCTCCCAATAGTTCATTCAAGCCTACAAAGATACTGACAGCTCTCTTTTTATGCTTGAACGCACTTTTAATCACTTGAGCAAAAGCACTTATGGTTTCTTCACGTGCAAGACACACAGCTCGGGCGACCATTTTTTCGCTCGAGTGGTCATCGCAACCTCGTTTCTATAAAAGCTATGCGAAAAACAAAATTTAGGGTTACGACGTTCAAATCTAAAACTTGTGAGTTTGTGTTTGCTTTTGTTGTTCTTTTCTTTGTTTCCCTTGATGTCTTTGTGAGATTGATTGCATCTCATGAGTTAAGTTGATCACATCAAGGGGGTTTGTTTGATTCTTCTATTCAAAGAGAGTTTGATCGGTGGATTCTGAAGGTTCAAGCGTGAAGGTTTTGAAGGAGTTCAAAGCGGCTCGTTGTCGTGGACTCGGCGGGGGTGTTGTGGATTCAACATCGGGCTCGTCAATTCTGAGATGAAGGTGTTGGTGAAAGAGGCACAAAAGGTGGAAAACAATTCTTCAGCTGTTGGGTAATTGTTGGTAATCTTGTGTATGTTCATTATCTTCATAGTGGTGTCTTGTCTGTGATTTTTTATCACAATTCGAGATGCTTTAACTGTGATTTTTTTCACGTTAAAATCATTTGTGTCGATTTATTAATTATGAATCAACAATCTAAATCACTTTCATATGTGTTAGATGGTTTAGATTGTTAGTTTTATTTGTTAGAAAATTGTTGCAATTCAATTTGTTTCAAATCACAAATCACTTAGATTTTCTTGTCAACTTTGTTTAATGTGGATTGGACAAAGTTGCAATTCAATTTGCTTCAAATCACGAAGCACTTGGGTTTTTTTGTCAACTTTGTTTAATGTGGACTAGACAAATAATTTTACCCGTATTACCGCATCATATTTTAATGAAGTTTGTATAAAATTGGTCAATCCTAACCCACTACTAATATATATATATATGGAAATTTGGTTGTAAATCCCTTTTCATAAACTTGTAACCCAATAAGTTTATATGGATATTTTTGTATCCCAATTAGTCCACACGTTTGGAAAATTTACCCCAGTAGATCCCATATCCCACATTTTTATGTTTTTTCATAGATATCAATTCGCTTTGCAATATGGTATCTACTACGTTTCTATTATGCATTTTACAATATATCGTATATATAGGTATTGATAGTGTTTTTTCCCGCAACAATCCGGCAATTTGTCAAGTTCACAATAATATGGAATTTCAAAACATATACATATATGTGAATGTTCACAAAATATATACATGAATATCTTGAATATGTTCAACATTAAATTTTTTATGTGAATATTAACATGTGTGTTAGGTTTTGTAACCAACAATCCTATTTAATAAAACTCGTTTCAGTTGTAATTTTATTTGTTTTTATGTTTCAGTGAGGCTGTGAGTGTTTATATACGAATCCAAATCGAATTGCACCTGTTAGAGGAGTTTGTGCTAACCTTCTATATCTTGAGCAATCCTTATTTGTCACTTTGCTGACTATGTACGGGGATCGAGCTACCCGGTCAGGTTGTGGGGTTCAAGGGGCAGCGCCCTATGGGGGATCTAGAGCAACGCCTTCAAATCCAAAACAATAGTTAAAGTGGTTTGACCGCTCGAGCGGTCATTTGTGCACTCGAGTGGTAAAGTGGATCTTCTAGTATTTCAATATATAGTCAGAACTTCTGAAAAAATTGTTTTACCGCTCGAATGGTGGATGTTGTGATCGAGCGGTTGGCTTATATGTTTTGCACTGCTTTTACTCACACAGCTCGAGTGGTAAAGTGTGAGCTCAAGCCATCTTCATGACTCTGTTTTTTATAAAGTGTGTTGTTTGCTTTTTTAGGATTTAACTCATGTAGATTCTCAGAGATGAGTAAAATACAAAGTGTTTACATTGGAGGGTGTTTTTATACAAGTTTCTTTGATGTATGGAAGGTGATCGATTGATCAAAGAATTACAAAGTGTCAAACATCAAGGGTTGAGTTGTTTCTTTTATTCACGTAAAGAGAGAGGTATTCTTCGTTAGATTCTGGAAAACTTGGACCTGAAGCTTTGGTAGATTTCGGAGTGACTCATCGTTGTGGATTCGACATTGGCGTTGTAGATTCAACGTTGGGTAAGACAGTTTTGAGGTAAAAACGGTGTTGGAAGGGGTACATTAGGTTTGGTTTAATTCGGGCATAGATTCGTCTAGTAATTGAGAGTACTTATGTGTAATTCTTTTTTATTTTTTTAGTGGATTGTTTTGTGGTTTTAGTCCGTGATTTTTTATCACAATTGGAGGTGCTCCAATTATGATTTTTTTTAGTTTAAATTGTTGTACCAATTTGTCTTGATTGTTTGATTAGGATTGTTATTTATTATTTTAAATTAAAATATAATTACGAATCAATATCTTGAAGGTTATTTAAATTTTTAAATATGAACTTTGATAAGACGAGAGTTTGGCCAGGACTACGAGCAATGTGGGCAACTTGCCTAGCGGACTCGTCGCATTGTTTTAGCGATGAAGATGATATGAAATATGCTGAGACAATATTCACATTACCATTTTTGGTAACTTTCTTTCTGTGCAAAAGATAAATATTTAACCAAAAATGCTTTACAGCTCTAATATAAGAGCTCTAATAGCTCTAATGGGAATGTGAGACCCACTCTGATGTGATGTTTGTGTCTTGTCTTGTTTTTATTTTTATTTTTTTATTGCTTGGACATATCACTAGAGCTCAAATTAGAACTCTAGATTTAGAGCTCTCTAACATCTCCCTTAATTTTTTATAACCCAATTAGTCCTGTGAGTCAGAAAATTTTTCAAGAAAACTCTTTATTAGTTAACACGCGCTTTTTTTTCTAGTAGGACTAATAAGTGTTGATAAGTACTTAGAAATCCCATTTTTTAAAATACATATTTTTTAATGTACGTACTAATAATAATAATGCAATGCACAATGTCTTGATTACAACATTTCATTACTATAGTGTCACTGGCAGTACTAAAGGTTCACTCTACACTCACTTAATGCCTTTATAAAAAGGCTATACATTACAAAGGTTGAAATACAAAACAAGTGAAGCATAAATGGCAACACCACCAACACCAGCAGTGTACTCAGCAGAAACCCTGAGGAAGTTGCCAAAGCCATCATCATCATCATCATCACCACCACCATCACCACCACCACCATCATCTTCGAGTGCAAAACAATCCGAAAGTAGTAGAAGCCAGAAGGCATACAGAGGAGTGAGAAAACGGCAGTGGGGGAAATGGGTATCGGAGATTCGAGAGCCCAGAAAACACAACAGAATATGGCTGGGATCCTTCAACACTCCCGAGATGGCGGCCAGGGCTCATGACGTGGCATCGTATTGTCTCAAAGGTAACAAAGCTTTGCTTAATTTTCCTGAAGAGATTGAGCTTCTGCCTAGGCCTTCCACTTCAACTCCCAAAGATATTCAGGCTGCAGCTGCTGCTGCTGCTGCTGCTGCGGCTGCTCATGTTGGGACTTCAGACGAGAAAAAGGGAAGATCGAAGACATCGAATGAGGATGATTTTTGGAGTGAGATAGAGCTGCCGGAGTTGATGGAATTTCGGAGGGAATTTTGGCTGCCGGAGAGTCAGTGGGAGGATATGCTGAAATGAAACTTGGTATGTGTTGGTGGTATGGGGATTTTTTAATTCGATGGGGATTATCCAAGTTCAAAATTTGAACTTAACCGTTTAGGATTCATAGGCTCATCATGTATTGTTTTAATAATTTGAACAGTTTGTTTTTATAGAGTTTTGTAGGTATATTATCTTTAGAAAAAAAAGTTAAGTCGGTATGATAATTATATCATTTTTATTTTATCACATTTATCATTTATTTATTTGTTCGGAGACAAATGAGCTAAAATAGAAAGGTTATAATTATCGGATAAAATTATTTATTTTTCATAAATAATATATAGAGAAGATTTTATAAAATGAACGATTTAAATTATTAAAACGAAATCTACGATATATCTCAAAGGACCTAGCATTACGGTCAAATTCAGATTTTAAGTTTGAGACAAGCAAATTCTTCTTAACGTTGTATTTGGTTGGGGGATTTGGATAATGATTTGGAAAGGAAAATGAAAAAAGAATGTGAAATGTGAATAAAATATACCTATATTTCACATAGTTTCACACACATTTTTTTTTTCTTTTTCCAAATCCATTCTTAAATTCTCAACCTAACACAACATAATTAAAGCATGGAGGACAATTATACCAGCTAGCAGTTAGGCTCCGTTTGGCAAGAGCTAAACGGGGCTTTTTTTGGCTATTTTAGCCACAAAAGACAAAATAGGCTATTTTAGCTACAAAAAACAAAATATCACATCCAACCCATAATCATTACATTTTTCTCTCACAAAAAAGCCAAAAAGTCCTTCCCAAACCAAACTTTTTAGCCCAGGCTAAAATAGCCAGAAAAGCCAAAAAGCCAAAAAGCCAAGCCACTTCCCAAACAGAGGCTTAATGTGTTTGCAAGGCTCAAATATGACAAAAGTTAAATAAATAACATTTCCATGTGCAGCCAATTATTATTATTTTTTTCAATTCAGTTTCATTTTAGAGTTTTTTTTTTTTTTTTTAGGTTCCTAATATTACAATTTTAAGAGATAAAAGACGTTTCAAACTTTCATACTATCTCAAGTCTCTCAAAAACATGTGCTTCTTCCCTCTAAAATTATTTGACCAAAATATCTTTACATTTTACATTCAAATATCTTTCACTTTTTGAAAATTGTCAATTTTTAACAATATATATATATATATATTTGAAATACTCTCGTAGAGATCTATCAAACAAGATCCATAATAACTATGAAATTCAAAAAAAAAAAAAATTGACAATATTTCATTGAGTTTGAAATCAACATAAAAGTAATACATTTGCAGAGAAATTTTAAAGAAAGTCAAATGTGTTAGGAGTGTAAAATTGGTCCGCGGCCTATGGACGGCCTGAAGCCCGCCCACAGCCCGGGCAGGGCCGGACCATTTAGGCCCGTTTGGGCCCGAGCCCAAGCCCAGCTCGAAGCCTTGAGCCAAGGCCTGGGCCATCGCTTTGAAGCCCAGCCTGGCCCGTGGGCCAGCTCAAGACCCACTCAAAAACCCTGCCGAAGGCCCGGCCCGCCCGACCCGCTTGAGGCGCAATGTTATTTTTAATGAAAAATAATAAAATTTTTGTGAAAAAAAAAGGCTTGGGCCATCGCTTTGAAGCCTAGCCTGGCCTGTGGGCCAGCTCAAGACCCACTCAAAAACCCTGCCAAAGGCCCGACCCGCTTGAGGCTCAATGTTATTTTTAATGAAAAATAATAAAATTTTTGTGAAAAAAATTTAAAATTTTGTTTAGGTCCGTCCAAGCCCACCCAAAGCCCAAATACCCCTGGGTCTGGGCTTGGGCCTGGGCCAATTTTCTGGCCCGTGGGCCGGCCTGGTCTGCCTCGATTTTTTATGGGAGCCCTCAAGGCCCGACATGGGCCGAGCCCGACCCGAGCCCATATGGGCTGGGCCAAAATTACACCCCTAAAATGTGTTAAGAGAAAATCAACATGCAACTAAATTTCTGTAATTTCATTTGCAAAGAAATTTCAGAGAAAACCAAATGTGTTAGAGAAAATAAACATACAAGTAAATTTCTCTGACTACATTTACAGAGAAATTTCAGAGAAAAGTCAAATGTGATAGAAAAAATCAACATGCAAGTAAATTTCTCTGACTGCGTTTGTAGAAAAAATTCAAAGAAATTAACATGACAAAGAAATTTCAAATATAGGTCCAGTGAAATTTTATATTGCAAGTGTGTGATGGCCAAAGAAGATCAATATGACAGAGAAATTTCAAATATAGGTCTAGTGAAATTTCTCTAGTATCGATCCAGTGAAATTTAAAAAAAGTTTCTCTTCACGAATAAATTTCTTTGGTATAGGTGTAGTAAAATTTTAGACAAATTTTACACAAATTACTCTATGAAGAAAAATTCAGATTAATTTTACCTGGTATAGGTCTAGAGAAATTTCAATAGGTTTTCCAAACTCTCTGGCAAAAATCTAGAGAAATTTTTGGTATAGGTGTAGTGAAATTTCCAAATTTCTCTGGAAATTTCAATAGGTCCTCCAAATTCTCTGGTATAGGTCCAGAAAATTTTTTGGTAAAGGTCCAATGAAATTTCTCTAGTATAGGTCCAGAAAAATTTCAACAGGACTTCTAAATTCTTTGGTAGAAGTCTAGAGAAATTTTTGGTAAAAGTCCAGTTAAATTTCTCTGATATAGGTTCAGAGAAATTTTAACAAGTCCTCCAAATTCCTCCAAATTCGCGAGTTTATTGTTATCCATGATCACCCGCTCCTTCTTCTTCAGCAAATAGATCAAGGACCCATACTTATGATAGTGGACTAGGTCAATTGGGCAAACATGGCCACAAAGGCGGCAGAAAGGGGTTCGAAACTTGGCGTCGAAGATATGGACAAAGTCGACGTTCATGAAACAGTCATCGGAGTGGAAGGAGGCGAAGGTGGCAGAGAATGAGAAGATGGTCGATTTGGGTTCTAAGGTTTGGAAAGAGAAGATTGTGAGGTGGTAGAGAAATCCAAATCTATAGAGAGAAAGAGAAGACGAATATGACAGTGTCGGAGAGTGAGGAAATGGTGGATTTGGGTTTTAGGGTTTAGGAAGAGAGAGACCAGAGAGATGGATGAGAGAAAGAGAGACGAATGTGGCAGTGTCGGAGAGTGAGGAAATGATGGATTTGGGTTTTAGGGTTTAGAAAGAGAGAGACCAGAGAGATGGATGAAAGAGAGAGAGAGACCTAAACAGGTAAAGAGAGAGAAGACAGACACAAATATACAGAGAGAGAAGAGAGAAGAGTGTGGGTAAAGTTTGTATTTTTTTTTTAAATAAAATAAAAGTAAAGGATGTGAGGGATTTTATCTAACAGAAAAAATATTTGTGGATCTTTTCTACTACGCAAAGTTAGAGAATGATGTTAGACTAATTTTCCCTTCATTTCACCCACCTACATAAGAAACTCCTTTTTTATTTTATTTTATTTTTTGAGTAAATGTAATATATATATATAATCTCATTTTTTAATTTATTTTTTTACTCTTAGATATGTAAGTAAGTGTAAGTCATATTAATAAATGTATATAAAACTTAATTTATTTATGTCTAACAATGAGAAAATTAATTAAAAAAACAGAATTATGTGTAACATTTACCATTTTTTATGAGCAAAATCTCTTGAATATTCCTAATTCTCCATCTCTCCCAACCCTCTCCCCAAACTCACGTCCCTGCCAGAACTTGAACCCCAACCTCCTCTATGGAAGTGTTTGGAGGGGAGGGGGGAAGGTTTTGTTGATGCCATTCCTCCCCTCGAAATTGAACAAAGAAGTTCATCATCTTTATTTGTTATTCTTCTGTATGGCAGCCACTTTTAGTTTACACACTAAATTGTTTTTCCCATGGAGATGAAATTCAAACAATACACTGGGAAAAAAGGATTATACTTTTCTCAAATTCAATTCTTAACTTGAGAGAATTTAAGGGGCTTATCACATATCTTGTTTTGATTATTTGAGCCATTCATTTTCACTAAAATATAGAAGAGTTTTAGAAATCAAAGTTTTTTGTTCTCAAAAGTGAAAACCAACTCCTATTGTTGCGAAAATAATCGCTAAAAGATTGTCATGAAAAGTTAAAAAATGATCTTTTAGCGACAAATTTTTCAAAATGTCACTAACAAATATACTTTTAGAGACAAAATTATTAGGTCACAAAAATATTTATTTTTGTAGCCAAAAAAATTTGATCCCAAAAAGATAATAATTCATAACTAAATGTCGAATTTTGTTGCAACAAATATATTTGGTTCTTAAAAAGTGTTTTTGTTCTTAACTTTTTGTCTCCAAAACCTTAATTTTTGTAGTGGTTGTAGGACCCTTCACGTATATCATTCATGTAGAAATTAGCTCGATTCAATAATTATAACCTTTTTCATTTTATTATGTTTGTTTTCAAAAAAAAAAAATGAATGAGAAATATATTTTTGAAAACTAATGAAAAGCACGTGCTTTGCAAGGGTAGTTTTGCGCACCTTCAAGTCGTTTTAGTTTTATCAATTTTTTTTTGAAACTAAACAAAAATTGTAGGGATTTATACCATATCCCACCAACACGAATAGAAGCACACCATAAACACATCAAAGGAAAAAAAACAATCATACTCAAATTTATGTGGTTCAGTACCAATTGTTTACATTCACGGAAGAGAGAACTTATGATAAAAATAAAAAATACATATGAGATAGCCAAAACACTCAAAACTCACACCACTACCCGAACCACATACTCAAGGATACTTGAGCCCTTGCTCACCTTAGTGTCCACGATATTTTTTCTCTCACCCCTTATATCTCTATTTTTCCTTTACCCTCTCCCCCCAATCTGACCCCACCCCATACACCCTCTAACTTTGATGTCTTGGTTTGCATTAGACTCTACTTCACCTAGAATATATTGTACCCCCTGAACCGAGTGCCCTATCTTATTTTCACCTCACACAATAGTGCTCAAACGTGTCTTTCATGACTTCCTTGGTCCTCATACTCGAGCCCATGAGATCTGTTGCACCTTCCTAAGGTGTCTTCTTTACCACGAACCAAACCTCCATAGAAAAGAGACTCGACTTCCTTCGATGTACACTTTCTTGTTGCGA